AATATTATCTGTTGGATCGCTTATGTGTTTCTTTTCAGAATAACGCGCAAATCGACGTCTCCTTTTCAGAGTGGCGCACATATCCAAAACTTTTCAAATAGAGGCTCTTCTTTTCAGGTGGCGCACAAATCGAAGTCTATTTAAAAAGAAGTGTTTCAAACTATTTTCTGAATCATTCATAGAAATTGTACAATTCAATAATCCAATCCAATCCATTATTTCCCCAAATCAACATATCAAATGGGCAAAGGGAAGCGCTCTTCCAAAATTGGCTCCTCTCCTAAAACTGGCTCCTCCAAAACTGGCGATCACAAAATGTTTAAAAGATACGTGAAAGCAAAGAAGGACATAGCTGTCGGTGCCAAGGACGTCTCAATAAAATTCGTGGCCTAAAGCCAACTTTAAAAAGGAACCTTTTTTTTTTCTTTTTTGTTTTGTTTATACTATAGTTATCTTACAAAATATAATACTAATATTTACTTTAGTTTTTTCCTTTCTTTTTGTCTGTAATTTAGTTATCTTACAAAATATAATACATAGTACTAATATTTATATTGGTAAGAAAATTCAAGTTACCAAGATGTTAGCCACGTATTTACAATGTGTTACCATGGATCTTATTTTAAAAAAATATTATTTACAAATATGAAGATTTGAGTATCTTAATTCAAAGTTCTAAAATATTTCTATTGCTAAAAATAGATAATCTTTATTTCTACTTTTATAAGGAGTTTGTATAAACTTCAACATTGTCTAAGCAAAAATAAGATAAAAAATTCACAATTATTTTTGAGGCCCCAAAATTTAGGGGTCCTAAAGCAAATGATTTACTAGCATACCCCTTGAGCCACCCCTGGCTAGTGCTGTTCCTGTCGAGGCTAAATTTCCCCGTCCAACTGCAGAGGAAGATATGGCTGAAGTGCTCCGTTGGTTTGCTTCAGCCAAGACAATACAGGTGAAGAACCCGTCTCCTTGTAGAGTTACATCAGAGGGTGGCTTTAACTGGAAAGGCAATGGTGCTCTGCAAAAGAATCCTTGCTAATGCTCATGTTAAGATTAAAAGAAGTTGAGAAATGTAGGCTAGTTTTTAGTCTAGTAAAGAATAATTAAGAGTAATGAATACTCTTTTTTAGTTTTAGGGAACACTGTGTTGTAGTTGAGAAGATTTACTTTTAGTTGCAACTTGTAATTGTAAGTGATGTTTAGGTTATTTTTGTTTATGATATAAAACGAATTGATATAGTTTATTCTATATTCTCATTATTACATGTCAATCATAGCAACTCATTTGAGAAAGCATAAGACAGAGTACCAAAATAGTTCCTTGGGTCGGAAAAGAAAGTATTTCATACTAAATATATTAGATGCCATGAAGGATATGCATGAAAGAGCTGTCACTAGTGTATGAACATTAGTAGGAGATACAAAGGAGTTTCCTGTAACCGTGATTTACATTAAGAATTGGCGTTGGGCCCATACTTGTTTACCCTAATTATGGATGTTCTTGTTGGGATATATACTATTAACCATGAATTTTGGTTTGAATATAGTATTTATTATGGAACAATTGCTTATTCAATTTTAATTAAGTTTTAACTAGATCATATATTCGTCAGTGTCCTTTACTTATATAGTAGATGATTTAGTGTATAGAGTTTAGCTTATACACGGAAGATTAAATCATCGGTTCTTATAAGTATAAAGATCATGTTCACAATCTAATGATGGAATTGGACAAACCATCAGGAATGATTGTAGCACAAGATTAGAGATAATTTATCTTGATTATGGGAATGGTTTAATTCCAACTTCTTGTGCTATTACATTTTGTATGTATTGAACGGACCAAGTAGAGATAAGTATTTTATACTGACTTAATAAAATAAAACTCTCTAGCCATTAAATGTACTTATACTCTTAATCTTGATATAATTGTTATTAGCTGTGTATATTATTATTGTTTTGATTTATTAAAAGGCGAGATTCTTTCGTGGGTCAATATGCCTGGTAAATTGGACAATAATAATATACGTTGACAAAGTAATAGTTAGTTGATGGAATCCATGTCTCGGTCTAGAGATTGATGATACACCTTTATGAAAGCTTATAAGTTTTCATGTGTAAACCTACATGTGAATTTTGTATCCGTCACATGAAATAAGTTAAGCAAAAGTCTAAAGGAAATAATCAATGAATTAAATTGTCAGTAAGTTAATTTATTTGATTAGTATCTGAATCTTAACATGGGGAGTTAAATAAGATTTAATGGAAGAATTTTGAAATTGAACTGAGGAGTGCAGTTACGAATTTTTAGTGGAATAATTTGTAACTTATTATGGTAGTATTAATTCAGATATTTCGAATTAAGTCCATAATAGGAAGCCTCGTTAATTAAATACTGCGGTCCCTGCTGTGCTCGAATAATTAGGAATTAAATGGAATTCTATTTCTTGGTGGAAAAGGAAGACCCAACAGGTTTAGAAAAAGGGTTTTAAACCCTAAAACCTGCGGCCCACACGAATTTCGCTAATTCCAGGCATTATTCGGGTCACACAGCAGAAGACCGTGGAACTAGAAGATGAACTCGTTGATGGTTTTTGCTCATGCTTGAAGGTCTTTTCGCGATCGCAGTCACGCTTCAAGAGATAAGTATCGATTTTATGTTCGATTAAAATTTGTGGTTATGTGGTATCTATATTACATGCAAGTGATTCTGGCTATTTGCTTCTGCTGTTTATACATGTTTTCCAACAATTGGTATCAGAGCCTACTTGTATCTAAATAGATGACATGCACAGAATATTCATATATGCGTATATGTTGATTGTTGATATATATGAAGTTTATGTTTTTCGGAATTCGTTTGTCGTATGAAAAGCATTATTATGATTATTTGTTCTTGATGCGATTGTGGGATTTTTGACCCATTATTTTGCTATCTGAAAATCTTATTAAATAATCATATGATAAGAGTGGCCGTGGGGTTTACTGGTTTTGTTGGTGTAAAGACAAATAATTTTTCTTTTTCACCAATTGGGTTTTGAGATTTAACCCAAAGATTTTTTTTGAAAATAAAAAGGATGTTCACTGGGATTATATTCAGTGACGGCAGTGGTACTGTGTTGAATTATCAAAGATTTAACTTAACTAAATTAATGGGCAGTTTTTACTCCTTAATTAAAGGTATCCATATATCTCACGTTTCTCTCTCCTTATCCCTCACCCCCTCACCCACGTTTTTACCCATACCCCACATTCTTTCTTGTTCTTCATCCACGACTGCAAGATCAATCAACGAAAGATGTCCTTGAGATGCATTAGCCAGCGAAATCTCATTATATTTGAATGTCGTGCCAATTTCCTCTGCAACAATTATTTTTGGGTACCAAACAAAATTCCCTCTTCTGGAAAAGTCAAAAAATGAGAAATTTATTGGTAAAGAGATAATATGAAAAGTTGCCGACAACTTCTCCAAACGACTTAGAAATACTGACTGTTGAAGCCCTCACCTAGATTTACTGTTTGTCGTGTATTTTGTAGTGTAATTGCAGTGTAATTGTAGTGTATTTGTAGTATAATTGTAGATTTAGTGTAATGGATATGATCTGTTGAAGCCCTCACCTAGATTTACTGTTTGTAGTGTAATTGTAGTTAGTTTGTAGTTTATGTAGAACATTCCACGATTAATTGTAGTCTAAAATGTAGATATAATGTAGACATGATTGTGGATGATGTGTTTCCTGTTTGCCCTGTAACTGTAGGTAAATTGTAGTTATTTTTATATTAGGTACTTAAATTGTAGGTATTTTGTACATTCACTGTAGTTATTCTTATATTAGGTACTTAAACTGTAGGTAATTTTTAGATGTTTACCTCCAAGTTCTATGTAATATTTGTATATGACTGTGAGTTGAATATAAATTACACAACAAAAAATAAGAAATAAATACTCCAATCGTAGAAATGTGTTATCCACAATTAATCTGCAAATTGTCTACAAAATTTTACAAAAACTACAAATTAACTACATTTAACCTACATTATAACTACAATCTGGAAACAATTTACACATGGAAGTTCTTCAAGTTGGAATTGGCCACAACTACATTTCTTGTTTTCTAGACACACAATGTACCGTTTCACACCATCCAACACATTATGTATATGATCTGTTGAAGCCCTCACCTACATTTTCAGAACAAACACAAAGAAAAAAATTTTACAATATTAAAAATATAGTATCAATAATATATCTACATTTTATCTACAATTTATCTACAAATTAACTACAAACTACAAGTAAACTACAATTTGCCTACAATATATCCACAATCTGGAGACATTTTATATTAAAATATTTTTTTCCTGCACCAAATAAAGAACTTGTAGTCAAATTGTAGATATATGTAGTAAATTTGTAGATAATATCATAAAACTAAAATTCTAAGCATTTTCGAACTACACAAACCTGCATTCTCATCTACCACAATGGCATCAACTTCAAAATCTCTAAATCTGTCATAGTTATCCCAATTCCCATTCAATTTTAACATTATTGAGATTTTTGATATGATTTCGTGTAGTTGAGAGAAAAAAGATGAAGAACAGATATAGGTTCGACAATTTGAGTACCGAGAACGATGAAGAACAATTTTGAATTCTACAATTTGTATTGCGTTGTTGAAGCTTCTGAAGCTCTGCGTTGTTTTTGAATTGTAGTGAAAGAGAGAATTACGCAGCAATAAGATCTCTTTCCGTTTCAAATTTCGAATTTAATGTGGAAAGAATCAAACGCAGATTTTGTGCTTTTTTTTTCGCGCGTTTTAAATGGCAGAATCTGCCTAATTATGGATTAGTATATAAATTGTAGTTAAAGTATGGACTGGGCGGGTAATTAACAAATTATGTACATTTTTGGTAATAAGCTTTCATATATGGTATAGGAAGGACAAAATCCCTTATATATATATATATATATATATATATATATATATATATATAGAAGTTAGAGAAGACCCGAACAACCGGAGACGCTAGCTTATTTCGAGGGCTCATCGTATCAGTTTCAGTTACAGTGAACGGAGAAATTAACAACGCCGAAGATGACCAGTCCCGGGATCTTCAAGTTCCTGCGCCCCAAATTGCGTCCTCAGTCCACCGATATACAGGCCGCCGCTACTTGGGGTGTCGCCGCCACTACCACCGCCCTTTGGATCGTCCAGGTCCTTTCCTTTTTCGTTTTTTTTTAAAAGAATTTTGGAATCCGACTTATTCATATGTACTTCAATTTTGATTTTATGTTTTCCTTGTTTTTCTTTATCTAATTCCATGCCATATAGAATTTTGACAGTCAAATTGTCGGTCACATAATGAATCAGTCGAGTACTTCTACTCAGATCCTATAAGCAACGAGGTGGGTCATGGATTTTAAGTCAGTGGAGTGGATGCAGAGTGCCACTGCCTCTACTATAATTTTGATAGAATAGCAAATTTTTTTCTTTTCCTTAAAAAAAAAAAAAGAAACTATTCAAATTCGAATTTTTAATTTGGATAATAGGAGTTTATTCAGTTATCATAAACTAAGTCCCTTGATGGTCTTGTAAAGATGTAACTGAACCTTTGATTTCGACTCAAAAGCTTCGTTTGAGCAGAGAGCCTGAGCTCAGCTCGATAGCCAGGCTTGATATTATGATTATGGAAGCGGAGCATCTCCTGTCAAGCATCTTATACCGCTATTTTTAGTTGTCATGGTTTGTGATTCGAATAGTAATTAGGAATAATTGTCGGATCACTATTCACTTGAATTGAAAATTAGATAAGCATTACGATTACAAACCATTGCAATTAGATATAAAATACTTACAACTTACTAATTTGATGTTGATGTCCATTTTTTATCTACATTGCTTCACCATCCTTTTCTTTTATGATAATTTTTAGCCGCTTTACATTCTTGTTATTTCATTTCCACAACTTGATCAATTGATTTCTTTCTTCGGAGATCTGGTTAAGGCATGGTCCGTTAGATCCCCCTATGCACTAATAGTTACGGTCCTCATGGACGTGAACACGGGGCTCTATTTCTTGAACATGTGTCACTCATAAAAGTTTGAGTTCTGGCATTTGTAGTTTATGGATTGATGTTTATCGCACTGATCTTGTATCTAAATTTCTAAAAGTTATTGCAATTTCTTTCTCGTGTTTAAAAGTTATACTAACCTCCTTTCCAAAAATTATAAGTCCTTGCATTGTCCTTCCTTGTTGGTTAACTTCCGAAATGAACTGAAACCGTCAAACATATGCTCTTAAGAGTTAATACCATATAGGGAAAGTTGGTATGTTTGACAGGAAAATGTTGGGATTTGAATCCTTCCCGTTTTTCTAATAATTGCATCGGCTGGATTGGTTTAGTTATCCAAAATATGCAATTATTATTTTGATAAATGTTGTTGATGTGGTATCCGGCCATTTATGCAATACAACATTTGGTGATCAGGATAGCTTAGCAGTCTAAAATCTTATGTAATAACTTTAGGAATCAAAAATCTAATTTGACCATAGGTTACATTAGATGAATTCTTCCCATTTGCCTATATTTTGGTGGGTAGAGTTATTCGGTACCTCTGCTGGTGGAAGATAATAGGCAAGCAAATACTTGGAGGATCAATTGAAATGCGCCAAAACTTGTCTGAACCCCATTGTTATCTGAAAAAAGCATTTGGTATGCCATGGAGTCAACTTTGTTCTCTAGTATACCGTTGACACTAGTTTATAATATACACACACATATTGTTGTAAATTTCCTTTTCTGATTCAACTTTTTTTCTCTTGAGCAAACTAAATCATCACCAATGGCACGACGAGATTGGTGCTAGAGATCAATTTTCTTCTAATTAATCATCCTCAAATTCATCACTGTATTTGGCCTGGTAGAAGGGTCTTTTCTAGGGAGGCTTAGAGAAGGGGTGGGGGCTTGTTAGGGTGGGTATGGAACAGCAAGTAGGATGCAGCTATGGACTTCTCAAAAAAAGTAGGATGCTGCTACGGAAATAACTGTATTTTAGGTTTTTCCTGTGGGAGCTTCAATTTTCGATCTCCTTGCCTCCAAATTAAGACTGTAGGGATGGGTAAAGAATTAATACGGAGGTGCACCAAACGTGGAAATAGGTGAGAAGAATTTTATCCAGAGTTTTTTTGCACTCTGAACAATCCATAACTCTTTTTCGTACCCAGTTTCCCTGCTTTTGCTAATTTCTACTCTCTCACTCAACATCTGCCAAGTGTCAACTTAGTGACATTGGCCAAAAATAGTCATAATTGCACACAACCTACTAATTTAAGAAAGGATCATTTTGTTAGTTACTTCGTTTTGTGTTGCAGGTTTGGTGTCCATTTATTTTCCTGTCCATCTGTTTTCCTTGTGACTTTTGTGATGACATTAGTTTCATATTTTCAACTAATGTGTTATAACTTAGGAGCTAGGTCTAACCTTAAAGTTGCATGTTCATGTTATCTTATGTGCAATATATTGCTATTAGTTGTGTACTGGAATGTGGCTGTTTAAGATATGAGATTGGAGGTTCGAAGATCACATTGAACAGGAAGGAAACTTCCTAAACCCTTTATTGAATTCTATGGGAGTGGGACATCTGTTGAAGTAACTTCATCATTTGAATGTTTATGTCCTTTAGTAGGACAATCTCGTGTATAATCTCTAGTTAGAGAGCAAAAAAATCTTTCATTAGGTTCTTGGTATTATTTTATTTCTATGTACTTCTTGACTTCCTTTAGGTGTTCAACACAGTTCTAGTTAATGTACTGCTTCTTGGATATGTAAACTCGATTTATGATGGTATATGAATCTAATGACGCCTCTGACCGTATTATGTTATTTTCATATCTAAGCAGCCATGGGACTGGTTGAGGAAGACTTTTGTTGAAAAACCGGAAGAAGAGAAGTGAACAAAAATGTTGAAGAGGTTGGTTGAGCAGGGTTAAGTTGAATAATGTAGTTCATTTCGTGGTTCTTGTTAGTGTAATCATGAAAGTTTGAGTTAGATATTGGTTCAATCAATTTCCCGACTACATTTCATTGTTGATACTTGATAGTCTGTCGTCATACATCTCTCGTGTTCACATTTCCAGTGTTAACTTTGATGCTTGATATAATGTACTCTCAACTCTGGACTTGAACCATAAAGAACAATGCATCGGCGATTTTGTCAATGCGGACAACAGTTGAACGGGTTTTGTTAAGTAATTAAACTTTTACGATTTGTGCTGCCTGCTTAATTTTTGCTTCAATATCCTTTGCCTTTTTAAGCTTTACCTGTCGGGCCCAGGGGCGGATTTAGGAGGGCGGAAGGGGGTTACCCGAACCCCCTTCACCAAAAAATACACTGTATATATACGGCAAATCCATCTTGTGCTTCAAGGGGGTTCAAAACCTCTGTGAGGTTACTAGTTCAATTCCCATTGCCTACCATCTCTTTTTAATATTTTAACTTTTTTCTTTTTTGAACCCCCTTGGCGGAAATCATGCTTGCTTCCGTCACTGGTCGGGCCCAAGCCTTTTCAGGTTGTTAGTGTTATAGACTTGCCACAATAAGATGGTTATGGGTTGTTGCAGGTGCATCTCCTTTAGCAGCTGGAAGTGAAACATGGAAACCGAGGATTTTAGAGACCCAGTAAAAGTTACTAATACATGTAAAGAGAACAGGAAGAAAAACAATTATTTTGGTAAAAAAGAATACAATAAATAACCCGAGTTTCAGCTTTAAAAAAAAGGGTCTACTTTGAGGTGTTTTTACATGATGTAAAATGTTTTTTTTTTATGAAAATGTTTTTTCTAGTTTGGCAAGTCACGATTATTGAAGTATACTTCTTTTTCAGCAAGCAATTGTTCTAATCGATTACGAAGTTATACACCTAATAAGAACTAGTTTGAGGCGTTTTTACATGATGTAAAATGTTTTTTCATGAAAATGTTTTATTTTCGAAATTATTTTTCAATATTTGATTGAGTAGTAAACTAGGTAACTTATATTATACTAACAATCGAATGTGAGGAAAGGTCTGAGTGTCGTGTTTTTTATGATAAATAAGCATGAAGGCTGACAATAATGTTTATGTGTGTTAAGTTGAAAAAGTTCACAACAGGATGATCTAGTGGTTAAATCATAAGAGTAACAATCTCAAGATTCCAAGTTGAATATAGTAGTTGAATTTCATTTACAGTACAAAATTACTTTGACACCTGGATATAATTACTTTGACTCTTGGATTTAATGGGTCCAATGGTGTTGTGGGTCATTACAAACTTGTTTTTAGTTTTATGACCCTATCGTTTTTTTTTACACATAGGAGATGAGATGTAAAAAAGACACTTTCTTAATTTCAACATTGTATGTGGTTATGAAGGTTCATTTCCTCAAAAAAATTGTTCTCACCTATTTCCACGTTTGGTGCACCTCGGTATCAATTCCTTATCCATCCGTATTGTCTTATATCTTGTTTGGCCAAGTTTGCCAAAAATAATTTTCTTGGGGTCAAAAGTGCTTTTTTTAAGTTAACGTGTTTGACCAAATTTTAGAAGGAAAAATATGCTTTTGAATAGAAGCAGAAGCAGTTCTTGAGAAGCAAAAAAAAATATAGTTTCTCCTAAAGGTGTCAAAAAGGCCGGGCCAGCCCACTGACAACCCGGTTTGGCCTGGTTCGGCCCGGGTCAGCCCGGTCCGCTAAGGGGTAGGACGGGTCGTTAGGGTTAGGGGGTTGAGCCGGACGGGGGGCGGGCCATTTTTGCTAACCGGTGCCTGGAACCCGGCTAGCCCTGTAACCCACTAACGGGTTTTTACCGGGTTCCAGCCCGGGCCAGTCCGATTACCGTTATGTAATTTTTTTTGACCATTTCCAACGGCCAAATTCAAAAATGACTGTTGGGCAACGGCCATTTTTTGCACTTTTGGCTATTTCGGCCTACCCCCTTAATAAAATAGCCCTCTCACACCTCTAATAATTGATAAATTACAATTTTAACCTTTTAAAAACTATAATTAGCTCCCCATCTTCTTCATTTTTTCTCACAATTTGCTCTCTTCTTCGTTTATTTTTATTTTATTATTTAGAATTATTAAGTTAGTTTTTTAGTTTAATTTACATAATGGATATATCTAGAGCAGTCAAAAAAGCGTGTTTGGTAAGGGTGGTACTAGTAAGAGTAAAAATTCTAAAAGATGAAGAGGTCGTATTGGTTCTTCTAGTAGCTTTACACATATTCCTGAAAGTTCACCTGGAAATTTTGAATGTAGAGTATGAGCAACTTTAAGAAGATTATGGTATAGATGATAATTTAGATGATATTCAGTCACCTGATAATCTTGAAACATCACCACGGACACCTGGTACTGCTAGTCAAAATACTAGGGGTGGCGGTCGTGGTAATACAGGCAGGTCTCCCCTCCTTATTAAGAATAATCGAAGATTAAGAAGTAAGTGTTGTAATTTTATTGAAAGACTAGAAGAAGATAAAAATTATGTAAGATGTACTATTTGTAGGAAGTTTATAAACATGAGACCGGAGGTAAGCAAGGGGGAACAGGTCAACTTCGTAGGCACATGGTAGATAACCACCCTATTGCATGGGGTGCTGATGAAGAATCTGGCCAGAAAAAACTTAATCTGGATACTGACGATTTAATGGTCAAATACGATATAGTGAAAGATCGGGAAGAATTAGCTCAAATGATTGTTTTAGGTTGTTTACCTTCTAGCTTTGCTGCTTCACCATTACTTATATTCAAATAATTTATAACCCTTTATTTAAAGGTATTCCTAGAAGTACTTGTAGAGCTGATATCTTTATGCTTTTTGGACAATATCTGTCACGACCCTAATTCGCCCTCCGTGAACTGTCGTGACGGCACCTATTCTCTACGACTAGGTAAGCCTAACAAATGCGGAAAAAGAAACAATTGCAGAAGAAAGTAATTAAAAACTGAGTTAACAAGGTTAACAGTGTTTAAGATGCCGCCTGACATATAACAGCACAAGATCTCAACAATTGAACAATTCCCAAAACCCGGAATCTCATGAATCACAAGCTAAAAGATTTCATAATAAGCTCTAACTCCAGAAATGTCTATCAACAAGGAAAAACACAGAAGGGCTAAACTAGTACAGAGAATAGAAATGGACTCCTCGGTCTGCGGACGCGGTAGATATACCTCGAAGTCTCTACAAAAGCGCCTCGCCTCAAGGGTGATAAGACTGAATGAGAGTACCTGGATCTGCACATGAAAAACATGCACATAAAGGGCATGAGTACACCACAGCGGTACTCAGTAAGTGCCACCTAACCTCGGTCGGGTAGTGACGAGGAAGGTCAGGGACCTACTGAGGTTAAAGGAAATACAAGATATAACAGTGTAGAATAAGACAGATACTTAAGTGCAACAGTAAAAAAGTAACACAGGATAGAAGAACAACAACAACTTTAACAGAGACAAAGTAATCACTGAAATAAATACAGCTCAACGCAGAGATAACAACCAGGGATCTCCCAGGATACCGTCCTATAGTCCCAAATGTAAATATCCAGTGGATCTCCCGGGATACCGTCCCGTAGTCCAACTCATAATGCGCGTGGATCTACCGGAATACCACATTCGTAGTCCCAAATATAAATACTCAATACTGGGGGAATCTATCGGGTGCAGTCCCGTAGTTCCAATGTAAAAGTGCAGGGGGATCTCCCGGAATACAAATTCGTAGTCCCAAAGTAAACATACAGGGGGATCTCCCGGGATACCGTCCCGTAGTCCCAAAGTAAACACACAGCAGCAACACAAAAGAATACTTAGTTCAATTCAATTTCCATACCAAGTAAAACAAGTATTTCTAGCCTAGCATGCTGCACATAATCCAACTAAGGCAATTTGAGCAAGTAAATCAATTAAGTCAACTAACATGCTTCCCTAGGCTAATAGCAAGCTTAAATTACACACGGTATAAACAGGAAAAAGGAGATCACATTTATAGTTATTTAAAGAAAACGGATTTTTAACAATTAGCACAAGTACGCACTCGTCACCTCACGTACAAAGCATTTCAATTATCAACAAACCAAATCCTAAGGGGAGTTTCATCCACACAAGTTTAGACAAGCCACTTACCTCAAACCGGCTCCAAAATCAACCCGAAACCACGTTCTTGCCATGAGTACTCGACTCCAAATAGCCCAAATCTATTCAATTCAATTGCATAATGTAAATAACACTTCAAGTAACTGATTCTACAAATAAATTCTAAGCTAACACGCTAAATTAGGTAAAATAACCAAAATGCCCTCCGGGTCCACGTCTCAGAATCGGGCAAAATTTATATTTTCAAAATTCTCATACTCTCACGAGTCTAACCATATCAAAATTACCAAAATCGGACCTCAAATGGTCCCTCAAATCACCACTCAAAGCTCTTCAATTAACCAAGCCCTAACCCCCAATTTACCACTGATTTTCCTTCAAATTTCATGCTAAAATTGATAAAAATCACCATAATAACGAGTTTAGGTTGCAAAAATCTTACCTCCTTGAAGCTCCATTGAATCCTCTCTCAAAAACCTCCCAAAAGCTCAAAAATCCGAATGAAAATGGTGAAAGAATGGGCAAAAATCGCGACTGAACCTTTATATATGTTCTGGCCCAGGACTTCCGCACCTGCGGACCCGCACCTGCGGTCCCAGGTGCGCATCTGCGAGATTTCATTAATTCCCTTGGGCCGCACTTGCGCTTCCTCTACCGCACATGCGCTCACGCAGGTGCCTCGAACTACCGCACCTGCGGAAACTGGCCTTCCCTCACATGGCCGCATCTAGGGTCTCTCAGCCGCTTCTGCGGTGCCGCACCTGCGGTCCAAACACGCAGGTGCGGTTATGACAGGAAACACAGCTTCAGCTGCCAACTCCAATTGCTTAACTCTCCGTCAACCATCCGAAATCATCCCGAGGCCCCCGGTACCTCAACCAAAAGCACGAACAAGTCATATACCACTATCCAAACAACATCGAAACATCGAATCATCATCGAATTCAAGCCTAAGAATTCCAAAAACTTCTGAATTACGCTTTCGATCAAAAAGTCTATCAAACCTCGTCCGAATGACCTGAAATTTTACACACACGTCACATTCAACACTACGGAGGTACTCCAACTTCCGAAATTCCATTTCGACCCCGATATCAAAATCTCACTATCGAACCGGAAACTTCAAAATTTTAACTTTCGGCATTTCA